ATTGTTAAATAGAAGATGAATGAATATGGCGTGCGCTTTGCAAAGTAAGTAGGTTTTTTATGACATAAAATAAAAAAAATCTAGTTTATTTTTATGAAAATATTATTTCCTTAGTCGCGGCTTCTAGATTTTATGATTTGTTTCATTTATGCTTTGTGTGTGAGGTTATGATAAAGTTAGGTGTACTATATTTAGTACATCAGGAAAAAAGGGGTCTACGAATATGTTCATAGTCAAAACAAAAATAAAATGGTTTTAGGTAAATTATTTTTGAACTAGTAATTATTTTGAGAAGGAACATTTGTTTCAGGGGTTTTTATTTGCATGAGGCGCTAGCAATGATAGAAGATGACGACATTGAAGCTGAGTCTATCACCTTGTTACCTCCCACTAATGCATGCGGTAATATAACCGACGAGGATTCTGGAGACGAAGAAAGACTGGATATCAACAACTTGCCAGGAAGCTTAATGCAAGCTGAGGTCGAAGTAAATAAGAATCAAAACGAGGATATGTGGAGTTCAGAAGATGAAATACCACTCAGTGAAATCAGGGGTAATAATAATAACGAAAATCAAAATGACAAGAGCAGACCCCAACCGAAATATTTTTTAGTTTTTTTGATGAATGTTTTCTAGGCATATTGTTGTTGAGTGGCTACAGTAGTGTATCTCGCAGAAGTATGTATTGGGAAAAATCCAGTGATTCACACAACTCACTTGTTTCTGAAGCTATTTCTCGCAATAAATTTGAATTTATAATGTCTCACATTCACTTAATAAACAATGAAGCTCTGGATGCAAATGATAAATTTGCTAAACTAACGCGTCTTTTCAATCACCTAAATAAAAAATTTTTGGAATACGCAGTACCAGAAGAGCATCATAGTATTGATAAGGCGATACAACGGGCGACATGGTTGTGAACAGTATATCCACGGGAAACCAATACGTTATGGGTTCAAATCTTGGGTTGGCGCTACTACTCTTGGTTACATCTTATGGTTTGAACCTTGTCTGGGTGCTTCGACGTATGTGAACGCGGTTTACAAATTTTTAGGTGTTGGCGCATCAGTTGTATTGAGCTATGCTGATAGGCTAAAAAGCAAATGGGCAAATCTTAGGTTTCATTTTGTATTTGATAATTTTTTTCTTCGCCAGCTTTGTTTGAAAGCTTGACTGAAAAAGGCATATGTGGTAAAGGAACAATTCGTGAAAATCGTATACCCACGTCTTCTTTGAAAAATTCAAAACTTATGAAAAGGGAACAACGTGGAGTGTGTGATTATACCAAAGTAAAAGATAAAAACTTAATTTCTGTAAAATGGAATGACAACAATATTGAAACTTTTGGGTCTACAGCGATTAGAATTGAAGCAGTAAATTCAGTAAAGCGGTATTCTCAAAAAGAAAAAAGTTTGTGTATGTAGATCAGACCCAAGTTGTCAAGCTGTATAATAAATGTATGGGCGGGGTGGATAGGTCAGACCAGAATACAAATTCGAGGCAAAAAATGGTATTTCTCGTTGATCTCTTAATGTGTAGATATGGCCCTGGCATATTTATAAAAAGAGAGGAAATAACGTGGATCAATTACAATTTTGAAGAAGTGTAGCTAGAGGAAATAACGTGGATCAATTACAATTTTGAAGAAGTGTAGCTACAACTACCTTGACTCAAAATAAGAAGACTTATACGTACCAGCAAGGTAAATCAAGAAATTTTGGTGACATAAGGTATGATCGCTTAGATCATTCCACAAGGCAAAGAAATAAGGTGTGCACACTGTCATGAGCACACGACTACTAGATGTAGAAAATGTGATGTCAGCCTTCACGTGAAATGTTTTGTTCAATATCATACTCTTTAAAATTTGCAATATTGATGTGTTTCAAAATATTTGTACCAGTTTCAATATTTTTTTTATTATTATTCTTATAGCTACCTTTATTCCTAATGTACTATGTATAGTACATCCTAAAAAACTAACTGTTTATGTATTTTTTTCAGAATAAATTGAAAATACCTCCAAAGTGTCGTCTTTTAATAAGGTTTTTTTAAAAAATAATAAAAAAAACTTTTTTGCAACTCTCTAGGCATAAATATCCCAGTACGCGGTTACTATTTTCTTGTGTTCTTCCAATTCTTTGCCATTTCCGATTTGGATATCGAGTCGCGTACACTCTTTTTGCTACTGCGGCATTCTGAAGACATTAAAAACAAACTGCAAGCATACCAACAGCTTCATCGTTCGTAAAATGCATTTGGTAAGCACAAAAAGTGATCAAAGTAACGCCAAACTATTAACAACTATTGATATTTTCAAAAAGAGTGACTTTAGTCTGATGAAAAAAAAAGAAGAATTCCAGAAATATTAGTTTAAAAAATAATAATTTAAGGAGCTTCCGTGTAAAATCTTCTTTGGCGTAATTTTTGGGTTATAAACAAGATATCGAGATGCGGTTTTCGCGAGTTTGTTTGGACATCATTTAGCTACTTTCTCGTAAAAAAAAATCATATCAATGCACTTATTTATTTATTCATTCTGGCCGTTTTAGTAAGAGCTTTTTTGTCGCAAGCGTCTACGATGGATAGGTTTCCAGATACAGTACCTCGCATTCTTAGTTGGCCACCCGGTACAAAACTCCCCGTGAGTGCGAGAGATACAGCCGGCTGCCGCCACTATGCTGCATCCCTCTCGCGCTCAGAGTACCTACAGTACAAAAATATTGCTCGATAAAATGCTACCTAAATTTCGGCAAGATAATATGATAGTGATACTTATCTCGTGAAAGTGACTTACATCACTGCCATTTTTATCAAATATACCTGGAATACTATCAAGAGTCAAGTTGTTAAAAATGTTCCTATTGTCAAGAGCTATCAATTTTCTTTTATCTGACCTTGAAGCAGTGTAATCAGCTGCCTATAATCTGATTATAATATTTTATACTTTTTTACTTCGTAACCGGTACTTTTTATGCTGGTAAAACTCCATGTTTTTCTGCCCATTAAATAAAGCCACATTTGCAGCAATAACTCTTCATACTGACGTTTCCGCCACCTCAGTAGCTTTTTTCAAAGTACAAATTGAACATGAAAATATTTTGTCAATGTCATTTTTAACTCGTATGTACCTTGAAAAAGGCCACGGAGGTGGCCAGAACGTTTGTAAGAACTTATTCCTGTATATACGAGTATCTGGTTTCATTTAGCAATCAGAAAAACATGCGAGCTCTGCCAAGAAATAGCATTACCACATCTACTAGCTTCAAAACAATCACCAATTTTGGGCCTCAATGAAACATTTCATTTTCATTTGAATACAGAAATAGTAAATGTAACATCTGAAACTTATCCTGTGATTTACAAATTAATAATCCCCCATGTTTGTCTGGCCAATAAAACTACGTGTATTGACATAATCTTCTTTACTGTAAACGTTTTAATCGCAAAGGTGATCTTCTATATTGCCAATGTTCTGAAAAAGATCACCTTTGTGATTGAAACGTTTACAGTAACGAAGAATCTGTCAATAGATGCGGTTTTATTGACCAGACAAGCATGGGGACTACAGAAATAATGAAGTTTAGAAAATATTGTCTCTTCCTTGTTTCCTATTTATACAAAAAATCCATGTTGCGGTAATTTAAACTATTTCCAGCAAGCTCTAGTTATAGCCTAAACCTAAACCATTCAGATTCAATTTAGATTGTATATCATCGACCACCCTTCCAGTCGAAGCATTAGACAAGTTTTTAAAAGACAATGAATTTTTTGGGTAAAACCACTTTACTAGCTTATTGCGTTATAACATACATAAATAATCCAGCACCTGTATCATCCATATTTATTGAAAAAATAAGATATCAGTAGGTAAGTACTGGTACTTGAAAACATCAGTACATATGACAACTACACTGAAGATTGATAAGGGACATACACATAAGTATATAAAACGGTATGAGATGACATTTTGTCTAGTTTCTCTGAAACCACCATGGGTTTCAAGTCAGTTCTCTTTGTTACGCTGGGCTTTCTGCTCTCTTTCTGGTAAGAACCTGCAACTCTATTTCATTTCGCAACTCTTCACTCCTGTGGCAAGCCACATTAGTGCCGGATCTTTTATTTAATCCATTCATGTTTCCAACGTTAATACTAAGACGGACCTTGAAGATCAAAAAACGGTCCAATAGGGTGATGCTTTTCACGAAGGTATATTCTGAGAGAAATTGTTTTTTTGTCAATGATATTCTGTATATGCAATGATTTTCATCAGAAACAATCAAAATAATAGCCTCCACTAGGTTGACTCTGCACTTTCTACCTTACAATGAATCCCATACAATTAGACCTCAGTCGCCCTGGCAAGGGGCGTTACTAGCAGGATTGCGAAGAGTACACTGCCAGCTGTAGGTTTACTTTTATTTTCGTTGTGCTCAATACTTGTATCGAAACTATTTGTATCGTAAGTATTAGCGGCCAATATATGAGGAATCTATGCGTGAAATATGTCTTATAGGTGCATATAATTATAGGGGTTAGAAGAGTATAAATATATTAATGCCAAAAATTTGAGACATACCTCTAACCCACTGCACCATTCCACTCCCCAATTTGTCACCACAACAATAAATTTCCGAAAATGGGCAGGAGACTATCAGACATAAAAAAAATGAGATATTTTCAATTTTTTCGTGTTTTGCCCGTTGCTGAGTCGACTCTGGATCTATCTTCAAAAATTATAAAGATTTTTCGTGCTTGGAATAATGAAAACTTGTGTTAAGGTTTCATCAAAGTTCGATGGGTACTTTCCAAGTCAGAGAGGGTCAAGATATTAGTGGAGAGACATACATTTTTTTGCGGTTACAATACTTAATAAGTTAATTAGATGGAATACCTAAACCTAGCTGGACAAGCAATATTCATTCAGCGTTGATTGAAACTCTCTACATTGCTTGAATTGTATATTTATAGTAACACATTGTATACGTTTTTTAGCTCCGCAGCCAAAGTGAACAAGCACTTCTTTCCACCAAACTTCAAGATTGGAGTGGCTAATGCAGCAGCCCAGATTGAAGGAGCGTGGAATGAAGATGGTAAAGGCGAGACCATCTGGGACAGGTTCGCCATGAGTCGCCCAGAAAGGATCTTCGATCATTCATCTCCACAAGTGGCTGCTGATTCTTACCATAAGTGGAGAGAAGATGTTGAAATGGTTAAAGAAATGGGCGTGGACCACTACAGGCTCTCAATAGGTATGTATTTTATACTAGCTTAAACCCGCGGTTCCGCCCGCATGGAAGTAGTAGGAGTAGGATGTATAGGTCGTTCGTTTTCATTCAACATTTTAATGCAACAATAAATTGATATCAAATGTGCAATCATAATCACAATAAATAATACGTGAAATACTTCACACCCAATTACTATTTATCGCAGTATTATATTTGAAATAAAACAAAACACCAACCAAGTCTAAATCAAGACAATCACGAGTTATAAGATCGATGCCTCGAGATCGCCTTTTAAAAAGTTTATTTTCGTAAATACAAAACTCAAAAATGTACTTTTACAAAATTATTACAGTGTTATTATGATGTTAACAGTACAAAGGCTTAAATCTGACTGACTATAAAATGCGTTGAAAACAATGAAGTAGACTCTAGGTCTTCTAGGAAATCGTCGGCAGTATTCCTGGCATATCAGCAGGAACGGCTGATATAACTCACGCTAAGAAAACGATTTTCGAAATACAGTAAACACATAATGAGAATTCTATATTTGTATACTATTAGTCATTACGCTCGGACCAACGACTGACCACTTTCGCGGATCTCATGTCAAATTTCATTAAGCCGTTTGGTCTGTAGCCCGCCATTCCAGACTATGATATCTGCACTAATTTCATCCAGATCCGTTCAGCCATTTTGGCGTGATTATATATTATTATAACACACACATTTTCTCATTTAGCGGCCTGTTGGTCCTTTCGGATGACTACCAATAGTTTATACTCAATTTAGTTGGCTTGTAACCTTACTAAGGCAATAACTGGTTCCTGTAGTTTAGGCTTTTTATAATTAATGAAAGTTGAAGTTAGTAAAGCGCTGAATCTCTTCATTAGATATGTATCGTCAAGCCAGTATTTTATTTTATCATGACCAGCTGTGTAATACTGGTGGTAAAATATTCTGTATATTTTAAATTCACTAGTATCAATTCAATATTAGAGAGTTAATATACGAGAGTAAATATTATACCATTATGGATTTAAATTTACAAAAGTAATTATATTTACTTTAACTACTTGACCCTGAGCATGAGCACCTTGAACTGCGGAATATTTCTATTGGAAATAGTACTTTAAATAAAAACTGCCTTTTCACGTTAGCGGAAACATATGAAAACATTTAATTCATCCCTGGTGAAATCTTATAGACCGAAATCGGGAATGGGGGTTACACCCCAATGCAACATGCTCCTAATACTTCAGGGATGTCTCAGGGATTAAATCTAGGGCTCCTATTATTCATAATATACATTCATGACCTGACACTGCAGCTACCTAAATTGAAGCTATTGTTAGCAGATAATTTGAAAATATTCAATGAAATTGAAAATTACAGTGACTGTATGGAATTGCAACAAGCCCTGAATAGGTTGAGTAAATGGTGCTTTGGCAACAAACTTACCTAATATAAACATAGCAAAATATAAAATTTTACTTGCGAGCTTAATCCTGTCCTGTTTACTTACTACATTGATATTACCAATCTAGAGAGATGCCAGACAATCAAAGTTCTACAGGTAATATATGATGGTAAATTTACGTTCTTTGACCTTATAGGTGATGGTCTCATCAACAAATAAAATATTAGGATACTACGCCAGAAACTGCTCGGGTTTTGCTGATGTAAACAGCCTTAAAACAATATATACATATTTCATTAGGGGTAAACAGGAATATGCTGCACTGATTTGGTCGATTTGGTTGTTCAACGAACATGAGCTGCTAGGTTTGGCTATTCAAGTCGAAGTTCAAAAGAACTCAAAATTCATCCGGCACTGTCACCGCTGCAAAAAATATGGGCATGCGCAATCTTACTGCACTGCACCACCTAAGTGTCTAAAATGTGCTTCTGACCACATGACCCACTTATACCCTCAAACAGAACAAGAGGAACGAAAGTGCGCGAACTGTGGAGGGGGCATCCTGCGAATAGCCGAACTTGCAGATTTGCCCCTAAGAAAAATCTGCAAGTGATAGCGCAAAGGCGCAATGTAAGTTACGCGGATGCAGCTAATGATGCAACCCGAGCTGCCCCCTCTGTGGGATCTTCTGCGAACACGCAAAATGTGGACCTGGCAACAATTCTTTTTTGGAATTGTTTGGGTCTAAAGAATATTCCCAAAAAACGGGAATTTCATCAAGCTGTTGTGGACGAAAGTATAGATGTGGCCTTGCTGCAGGAAACATTACTTAATCCGGGAGATCGTCTAGCTTTCCCGAATTACGATGTTATCCGGGCTGATAGATTGACTGGACGGGGTGGCGGCTTGGCAGTGCTAGTGAAACGCGGTATTGACTACCACAGAACCACAAACGCTGAGATGCAGAGCATCGAAGTGGCTTCCGTGGTGGTCAATATGACGGGAGGTGTGCCGTTAAAAATCACATCGGTATATGTCAGGTGTGGTATCAGGCTGCAAGAGGCGGATCTGGAAGTCCTTTTAGAATGCTCGGGTCCACTTATTGTAGCAGGGGACTTCACCTGCAAACATCGAGCATGGCATTCTAGGCTGAATTCCACCAGTGGGATCCGACTGTACAACCATGTGATACGAAATGGCTACCTCATACATAGTACTGAGGAGCCGACGCACCACCCATTTAGTCACCTTCAGGCACCTGATGTTCTTGATTTTGCATTGTCCAAAAACTGTATATACAGTATCACTTCACGAATAATGTATGACATCTCAACCGATCATCTTCCCGTCGTTTTGGAAGTGGGTAATGAGCAGATCTTGGGGGCTGCAACCCCTCCAAGGAAACGCATTGATTGGGAGCTATACAAGTCGCTCCTCAGAGAGTTCCCCAATATTCCGATCATAGATGATGAGAACGGTATAGATGCGGCTCAAGCACAGTGGACAAGTTTTATTCAGCAAGCTCTGCAGCGTGCAGCTGTACTTCCCGTGCAGCGACACGGCAGACCTTTTCTGCCAGCAGACATTCGTCAGAAAATTTATGATAAAAGGGCTGCAATTAAGCAAGCGAAAAGGTCTTGTCATCCTGATGACATTCGCAGAGCGACGAATCTTGTTCATGAAGTAAGAAATGCTCTTCATGAATTCCGCAATGAGTAATGGAACGACTTTCTGGCGGGGATCCTTGACTCAAGCATTCCTCTCTGGAAGGTGGCGAAGTCGCTCAAAAACGGAAAGCTTGAACAAATCCCACACATTCACGGTCCTGGAGGCATTGTCTTCAGGACAGAGGAGAAGGTTGAGGTTTTCGCCGATGCCATGGAAAGACAGTTCTCTCCCAACTATGATCTTGATAATGACCTCGACGAGGAGCAACACATCGTAAGATCTGTCAGGAGATATTTTAGGGCCAACGGCGTCAGTGACAGTCGCGCTATCATTGGTGATTTTTCTTCATCAGAAGATTCTTCTTCAGAAGATTCTTCAACCGAAGATCTGCTTAGCACATCAGCGGCATCTCCTGAGATCCCGCATTGCACACCAGCAGAGATTCAAGGTCATATTAAAGACTTTAAAGTGCGTAAAGCACCTGGGGAGGATCAGATCACTAATAAGGCGCTGAAGCTGCTTTCGCGGAAGTCCTTAACTTATCTCGTAGCAATAGTCAATGCCATGCTAAGGATCCAGTACTTCCCATCCGCGTGGAAGACCGCTGAAGTTATAATGATTCCAAAGAAGGTGGGTTCGATATTTCCCTAGGATTATCGTCCCATTAGCCTGCTGTCAGCTCCGTTTAAGCTCGCTGAAAAGGTGATTCTATGTCACCTTGACATTTTCTCGTCAGATCACCATGTGATTCCTGACGTGCAATTCGGTTTTCGGTCTGAACATAGTACGGAGCTACAGGAGGTTAGGCTGGTGGAACGTGTAACCAGAGGATTTACCCTTAACGAAAGTACTAGCATCTTGCTTTTGGATGTCTCAAAAGCATTTGACAAGGTGTGGCACGCGGGCCTCTTGTATAAACTAATCCACATGGGCTTCCCCTTTTGGTTTCTAAAACTACTGTAATCCTTCCTTGGAGGTAGGAAATTTCGAATCAAAATTGACAATGTCCTGTCGATAACACGGCTGATTACAGGCGGCGTCCCTCAGGGTTCGGTCCTTGGACCTATCCTTTACTCACTCTACATCCATGATGTCCCTAGTCCCAGCAACTGTGAAGTCTATCTCTATACTGACGATACTGCATTGGTGGCTCAGTCATGGTCTGGTAACCTAGTCCATGACAGGCTACAAAGTGCGGTGGAGGAAGTATTAGATTGGGCGGATCGGTGGCTAATTAAAATAAACCATTCGAAAACGCAGGCAATCTACTGTACAAAAAGACATCGCGGCGTTCAACGAATGGACTTCGTATACCATAGGAATCCTCCGCTAAGTATCTCGGTGTCATTCTGGACAAAGGGATGACTTGGCGGAACCACATAGAAGCGCTAAAAACTAAATTCCAAATTACGTTTCGACAGCTTTACCCATTATTATGTAAACGTTCAAAACTAAGTTTGATTAACAAGATTCGACTCTATAAGGTGGTCATAAGACCAGCAATGACTTACGCATGTGCGGCTTGGTGTTTTATTGCTAAAACATACATGCGAAATGGTGAAAGATTCTGCAAAGCAGGACGTTGCGCACTATTACTGATGCCCCATGGTATGTCTCTAACGAAACTCTACACAGAGAGTCCCTTACCTAAAGAACTACATTAAGCAACAGGCGCAGCGGCGCTATAGCCTGGCGGAATCGCACAGCAACCCTCTGTTGCGTGAGTCAGTGGACTACACAGTCGAGCAAGTTTGCAAGCACAAAAGGCCGCGGCTCGCACTGTAATCAAAATTAACTCGTGAACTTAGAACAACCAAATTGGAGCATTTTGACAAAATCTTTAGAAAAAATCGAATATTTTTAGACCATATCAAAATCTGTGAAGTGATTTTAACAATGCCTAAACGCTGCCTATCCTAAAAGATTCTCTTCTTCCCCTTTTGTGGTGCCAAAGAGATCAACTCGCTCTAATGCAACTTTTTACAGCGCTAGGGGTAGACCCACCATTTCGGAAATGTCTCCTGTTAAAAGGATGTGTGATGTATTTGACACTTATTGTCAAGGATGCGATATCAGTAATTGTGATTTTAAGCAGTTTTAAGCAAACATATGCAGTGCTTAACCAGTAACGGCTATTTTTTCAAATGGAGCCGTAATTTTCAGATATATTTTTTTGTGTCAATTTTACTGTCATTCATGTTTATGTTTTTTATTTACCTGTGATAATGTTTCATGTTTCAAATGCATTTTGTAAAATGAACTTTTATACACGAGCATAGAACTTGATGTTCCTGTGATTGGGTGCAAATCTGTTGGAATAAAGATTATTGTTATTATTCAAAGATCTACGCTAGATGCATTTTCTGAAACAAATTTCATTATTCCAATTTCCTTTTCCTACAACAGCTTGGGCAAGAATCTACCCAGACGGTTACAAGACAGAAGAACCTAACGCCAGGGGTGTAGCATACTACAAAAATCTACTTAGGTCATTGAGAGCATTGGGCATTGAACCAATGGTCACCCTCTACCACTGGGACTTACCACAGAAGTTGCAGGATGATTTTGGAGGATGGCTGAGCCCTAAAATCGTCGATATCTTTGCAGACTATGCCAGGTAATCAGAATTGAGAAATATTTCAGAATCGCATAAGGTTTCCATAAATTTTCTATACTGCGATCTACAAAAGTGTTATGAGTCATCAGCATTCTGTCGCAGTATCGCCGGAATCTGATGAAGAACCAGAAGCACAGTTGTTAGTGGCGGGGTATGGTACTTTATGAGCATTGACTAACGCATTCCACCTGAGATATTCAAACATACAGTAGCATAACACAAAAATGAATTTATAAATCTACTTTAAAAATATTTAGTGTGTTTGAGCGCTAGAATATACCGTTTTTGCGCCTTTCTAATGCCTGTTAGCCACAGCTAAGAGCCAATGGCAAAACCAAACACTAACTATACACTAACTCTTCAGTAGATTTCTAAGTTTATGTTTTTTGTCTGCTACGTCTCTTAGATGACAGCACTATCTGCCAGATCTCTTTTAAGAAGCCGGAACACAGTATATGGTTGACTGTCCTCAATTAGAATACGTCAACCAATAAGCTAGTAATAAAGAATTCGTTCATCTGAGCACAGAACGGCCAACCATGAACCGCGGTTTCTTACTATTTGGTAACTCCACAGCGTGGTCTAGGCATGGTCTCAGGTAGAACAACGAACAAAAGCTAGGCAACTATCCTCTACCAGAGTATAAGGTCTATCGACATAAGTCAGTACAAAGTGATATCTATTACCAGAATCGATCACTGCGAGAGTGAAAACAGCAAGTTGTCTGTTGGAACTAAACTGTATCCATCGAAGAAACAAAGTAAAATCAAACATATACACCCGTATTGCACGTGATCAAGAACTTAACCGTAGGAGACGCTACAGGGCCGTATCAAGCTATTGTGAATGATCTATCAAAAAATGTCGTACAAGATATGTGTTGCTGTAAATTCTATCAAAAGCATAGTAAATTATCAGGAATATACCACGCCTTTCTAATCATATTTCGACATTAGGAATCAGCGCAAAAAATTCTGTATTCACCATTTCAGCAAAATGTTACTAAAACGCACACGAAAAAAACTTGTGGACCATCTCAATTGAAATTGTTCATATTTTATTATTAACTTACATATATACCCAATAATATTTACAAATCAACCTATTCACAATGCAGAGCAAATTTTTTTGAGCAAATAGAAACTACAGACGTAGTAGTAGTAGTACAAAAGTTTATTACAGACTCCATAAAGTTTGTTAGTTTGATTGCTATTAAAATTTACATGAGAAATAGGAAGAAGGTCAAAATGGCACTATTATGCTTTGGAACTCCTAAATTAACAATAATTTTGTGTAATTAAAAATTTGGAATTTCCACATTAATAACTAGAAACTTACACTTTGATTGCAGTCTATAATGAACTTACCTGTCTTGCCAAAAAGCCCGTTAAACTGCCAGTCTTAATGGTATCAATCGATTTATATGCTGTATTCCGAGGAGCTTGAATCATCAGAATTGTTGATGTCAATTATAAGGGGTTCAACTTGGGTGTCAATGATATTGTCCATATCCCACATTTTGGTTTCAACCTTCTCTTGGACATGGTCAATACATGTTCTCCATTTTGCTGGCGTAATTCTATCGACAGCAACATCAAACAGTTTTTTAAGGTCAGAAAACTTAAAAGTGCTGTTATTTGACGCCACGTATTGCTTGATGTCGGCCCAAATCAACTCGATAGGATTCAGTTCGCAGTGATAGGGAGGCAGCCTGAGAATCGTTTTAATTTGGTTTTTGGCCATTTCGTCAACAATTTTTAAATCATATTTATACTTATGTCGCTTGACTATATTTATCAGCTCAGCTTTGACCATTGTTTGGTCGAAGTCGATCTTCTTTGAGACAAGCCACTGTTGAATGTCTGCCTTTTTGGTGGCCATTGTTGGAATTTTTTCCAATTTTCTGGAGTGGTACGGGGCATTATCCATCACAATAATTGCGTTATCATCAAGTGTCGGCAAAATTTTTTTGAACCAATTTTCAAATGAGTTACCATCCATTTCTTCGTGATAGTCTCCAGTTTTTTTGGATTCAAATGCCCACAATGCTTCAGGAACAAATCCATCTACGCTACCTATGTGGCAAATGATCAGGCGTTTTCCCTTGCCTGAAAGTAATTAGTTATTTTACTTCTCAGCGAGCGCACTAAATGACGAAATTAAGCAATTTACTCTTTTTAGGTTAGTGTAGGATAGGGTCTTAGATTAGTTTTTGGGTGAAGGAAATACTCAGAAACTTGGATGAGATAGCAAAACTGAGTTCGGAGCTTCCAAATCATTGATTCGATCAGAAAATGAATTATCTGCATCCAAAAAAGTTCATATACTTCGAAACTTACCTGCAGAATTTTTAAATCCCGTCGAAAGGCCATCTAAAAAAGCCTGCCTTGAGGACCTCACAGATCTGTCTACCCAAACCTTTCCCTGCGTATGCCCCGCGTTCACCCATGTTTCGTCTAAATAATAAATTTTTCTTCCTTCAGCGCGGAATTGCCTAATTTTTCTAAGATATTCTCTCCTCCAGATAACAATTTCCTCCTTTTCTATCAATAAACTATTCCTTCCTCTTTTCAAAAATCGAAAGTCTAGTTCTTTCAACAGCTTATGGAACGTAGATCTTTTAAAATTTGGCAGGTCCTCATCATCATTCACTTGCTTCAATATTTTATCTATTGTAGGTATTTCATTCCTGAAGAAAAAGTGATGTAATGGCACTTTTGTCAAAGTCATCTATTTTTTCGATGATTTTTTTTCTCGCTGGATATGTTTTTGGCTCAGATAGTGAGTGATTTTGTCTATATTCCTTCAAGATTTTGTAAACACTTGATCGACCTACTCCAGAAATTTCAGCAACCTTACATACGATATTTTCTATAGCCAATTCACTATTCTCTTGCATCTGGTTCTTGTAGATATTTAGAATAATTTGTTTTTCACCTGCGCTAAGATGAAGCTTTTTAGCCCTTTTGCTGGGTGGCGTTAAGCTGATTTCAACCACTTCATCAGCTGTATCTGTGTCAGACATTTTAGACTAATATTAAATTTCCGCAAGAAAAATCAAGTCAAGACGTGCATAAAACGTTCGCGCTCATAAACGGGTATCCGTAACTGATTACAATCCTGTGCGTGGTGACGAACCATCAACGTGACGCTGAGACTTCCCTCTACTATGCAGCGTTGCCAGGCTTAATGTCACAATGATCATGTTTTATTGGGAAAATTGTCAGAAATCGCCGAATGTTGAACAGAAACATTACAAGAAGTCTAACCTTGAAATGTGAGGCTACAAATCGATATTCTTATAGGGGGGAAGGGTAGGGAGCTGTTATGGTTCCTATTAACCTTGGTGAAAGTTGGAAACGGTAATATATATGGCATACATTCGGTTGAAGGTGTGTGCACGGAAAATAGATTGCGGATAGGATTTTAATAGATAAATCTGCACAAAAAAAACACAAAAGGAGATTTTTGTATTTCCCTGAAGAATATCTCAAGGTTATTTCAGATGTACTCATCGAAACATTATGAAAGGATTATCGAAACCTTATTTTCAATTGCGATAGGGCCACATACCTCGACATCGCATTAATGTGAAAAATAAGACAATAGAAAAAAATTCCCTCACTGATGCTATCTCTTAGGAAAAATTTAACTATAAAGATTGCACAAAAATTTTCTTCACCTTTTTGAGCTTGTTTTCGCATCTCCGTATATGCCGTTCATAATTTGCTGCAGATCAAATTGGAATATACCTTTGTGATGCCATTTATTGTTATATAATGTCCTTTACAACAGTTATTGCACATATTGCACCAACAGATTGATTTGTGATCCATGCGAATGTGATCAACCACTCTGGCGAAAACTCGCCGAGCGTGGCAACCGTGCGACTTTGTCTGGAGGCTCGTCGCTACAAGCCAATCAGGAAGAGGCCGACAGAGCGCCAGGGCTACCGATCACGCGTTGATCACGAATCAACTACTGTTTACGATTACTTTGTAGCTTCGTTAGATACACTTTAGATCCCAGTTCGCACTGTCAACCAGGTGACCACTGCGGCTGCTAGATGTAGCCGACTTTGATGATATAGTAGATACAGTCTACTCGCCATTTAACAAATTAGTGATATAGCTTCCGTCAGCCCGACCACAGAAAGCTCTTTTGTGCTTTGTGGCAACTGCTTAGCTTGGCTAGGTCTCAAGTAGGACGACGAACGAAAAATGAGCAACTATCCGCTAACCAGAGTATAATACAAAAAATTGTGTTCATCACACAGCAGCAATGGCAGAATACCTAATATTAGAAATAGTAGGACACCTTTTGACTGAATTCTATTCGGATTTTCTAATTAGCCGGTGTGTTCTGATCAGATTCTTGCCTAAAACCATATACCCAGTTGCAGCTGGACGCTCCCACTGATATAGCCTGTGTTTTTAATGAATATTTTGTTGATATAGGTGGGCAAATAACAAGTCAGATTGATCAAAACTCAATTCTTGATACATCAGATCTTCATGTCGTCAACATTGCTCATTCTATGTTTCTAACTCCAGTGGATAACATAGAGTTACAACAAATAGTTTTTAATCTGAAAAATAATAACGCACCCGGAAAAATGGCTTTCACACTAAAAATATCAAGATGATCATGAATTATATCAGTCACCCTATAGCTCACATTATCAACCTCTGTTTCAAATCCTCAGTAATTCCTCGCCAATTTAAAGAAAGCATAGTGACACCAATATTTAAATCTAGAAGTAAAGACAATATATTTGGGAAGATTTTTGAGAAGTATTTGAATAGCAGACTTTGTTCTTTTCTTGAGAAATATGACATAATATCGAACTGTCAATTTGGGTTCCCCAAAAATTGCAATACAGAGGAATCTTTATAAGAATTTATGGGACAAGTGCTTGAACATTTTCAAGATGGAAATAAGACTGTTGCAGTTTTCCTAGATCTTCAAAAGGCTTTCGATTCAGTATCCCATACAATTTTATTAAAGAAACTAGAAAGTGTTGGAGTGCGTAGTGGAGTTCTGAGCTTATTTGGCTGATGGATTACAACAAGTTAAGGTAGGATCAGATTTAAGCATCATTCAAAAGATCAAAATAAGTGTGCGTCATATACATAAATGAACTACTTCGATGCAATTTCAACTGTAAAATGATATCATATGCAGACGATACCGTTTTAGTTTGCACTGGTCATTCATGGGATGACGCAATACGGAATGTCGAGTTGTCATTAAATAAAGTCAAACGCTGGTTGGATAGCAATTTACATAAACTTAATATCTCTAAAACTAACTGACGTTTTCTCCAACCAAAGCAGGCATGCTATTACACCACCGAACATTAATTATAAATGATAGTGCTGACACTGTCGAAAGAGTTGAAGTTATTAGATACTTAGGAATCATTGTTGACATTTGCAAATGGCAGAGTCATGCCGAGCTTTTGGCATCGAAATTAAGGAGAATTATTCATTCTTAGGAATATTTTAAGCAGAAAGAGTCCTCTCAATATATAACTCGTTTGTGGGGTCTCTACTAACTTATGGAATAAGAATATGGGGAGCCGCATACACTAGTACCTACTTTAAAAATATTACAAACCATGCAAAATTATATTGTCAGGATTATTTTTCGTATCCCATGTAGGTCAAGTTGCAGATTTGTTTACATTGAACATGATCTTTTGAATGTTAGAGGTTTATATATTTTTTCTGCTCTGAAATTTGTTCACTCTAGAAACAACGTTCCAACCAGCCACGCTTACGAAACAAGAACTAAAATAAATAAAAGTTACACTTATACCAGAGTGAATAAATCTGTTTACCAAAAATGCATAAAGTTTGATGGTATTAGGTTGTATAATAAATTATCCCTAGAATATAAAATCCTCTCGAAGTATGGTTTCAAAAAAAGGATTAGGAAGTTCATCTTAAATAACTTTGGTATGCTTGCATCGATTTTAGCTTGACTAAACCCAGTCATTTCGTTTCTATCTAATGTTTTTATTTCTTTTTTTATATACATTTGCTCATAATACACTTTATGACCATTAGCTATGCATTGAATTTGTATATTGTGTGACACGCACAAGCTTATAGCTTAGGTGTCTATTCTTTGTAGTGAATAAAAAATAAATTAGGATGAGTAGCTGGTATAAGGTACAGCAGTAATAATATTAATGTTAATATTGTAAAATTATTATCATTGTAAAGGAGAATAATCATATTGTTATTAAAAGTAAAAAAAGTTGAGCATAACATGGAAATTACTGCTGTTATGTCATTGGCACTATATTTATCGAAAGATTTTGAAGTAATTTAATTAATTTGTTATTCATAGATTTTTTTACGTAATTTAATTTGTTATTCATAGTTTTTGGGGGCCTACTGAGCTTCCTCACTAGAAGCTCATGGCAATAAAATGCTAACGTATAATTACTATTTATAGCGAGTAAATACCTTTCTTAAAACCTTTTAGATTCAAAGAAAATTCTTTTCATTTTTCAATGTTATTGACACAACTGTCTAGGTAAAAGCCTAGGTACATGCCTTTCAGAACGCTGATGACTGTAATATATTAACACTTATCGAACGGTTATTCAGTTCGAACGACACATAATCCTCCACCATTTTCGACAATTGTCTTGAACCCTAGTACTGTATGGAACTTTCATGAACTCTCATACTAACTGCGAGCTATAAAATTTGGAGGTCGAGCAAATCATAGACTTGCTCCTTCTACATAGTCTGAATTTGTTGGTTCCAACAGTCAGCTTGCTGTTTTTACTCTCACAGCGGTCAATTTTGGTAATAGATGGTACTTTGTGCAGTCTTATTACGTCAATCAGTCTTATGAATAATCTTGATTTCCTCAATATATTTTGCAAGCCCAAAAGATAGTTCAGTGATTTTTCTCTGTGCATGACAGTAATCTAGAAATGTTATTTTCAAATTCACAGGATAGTTGATAGTAGCTGTTATATCTAGTGCATTTATTTAGAAGTGAAATAATTTGCTAAAAATGCACAGTTTGAAATACTGTATACCTAGGACTGACAAAAGTAGTTTTGGTAACAATAGCAACTACTAATCTTCTATTCGTGAGAATTATTATATATATTTTGTATTTTTTTCTTAGAACTTGCTTTGAGCTTTTTGGCGATGAAGTAAAATGGTGGATTACAATCAATGAGCCCAAACAGGTAAACTTACTTAAATCTACGAATCCTTCGACATATTAGTATGTCTTTCATTTTTTAGATCTGCGAAGCTGGATATGGAACAGGGGGCTTTGCACCAGGCATCGTTAGTCCAGGAGTAGGAAACTATAAATGTGCTAAAAACGTACTTTTAGCCCATGCTAAAGCGTACCACATTTACGACAAAGAATTCAGAAAAAAAAACCGAGGTACGTCATATTCATTACATAACACATTAGCACAAATTAAAACCGTTCTGTGGTTAGGATCTTAAAGAATATCTTCCTCAAGAAAATAAAATAGTAACTATTTTTTAGGAAAAGTCGCAATTGTGATTGACAGTAACTGGTTCGAACCCCTTTCTGCTAAAGACGAAGAAGCATCTGAAAGGGCACTACAATTCTCAGTGAGTATAACACGGTATAATATACACGAAAAACTAAATAAAATCATTGATTAACGTATTCAACCTGATGGAATACGTGCCACTTTAGGTCTATTTAACATCATTAACAATCAAAAAGAAGGTGGTAGACAAGGACCAGTCGACCGACGCCGAATCACCCGCCAGCTTTTGCTGGGTGTCTTGGGAATGACTGCATGTCTCCACATCTAAGCTACGCAGTCGGTTTTCCTCCTTTTCCCTGCACAACAAAGAAGTTAATGATGATGGATAACTCGAATATATGCGGGATTAACAGCAATATTGATGCTGATAACCACTATCTGCATTCAAATCGTCCCGCCATGCTTTTCTTGACGGTGACCAAAATCTCCGATTCTGCCCCGACTAACCATATTTGCTTTCCAAATTACAATGTGCACTCCAATCTGGGGAATAACGGGGGAGTTGTGGTTTTCGTTCGCAGCAGTTTTTCCTGCTCCAGACACGATTCTTTGGAATCAGCCCGGAAGGACATTCTGTGGCTTTGCCTCAACTCCAAACCATCCTCCAAATTAATTTGCTGCCTCTATCGCTCTCCCTCGGACCATAACTGGTCTAACCTGCTTGAACAGCTTGCTGTCAAGATCTATCATCAATTACCCTGCCTCAGAGATAGTTCTCGTCGGTGATTTCAAAGGTGAAGGCGGTGATCTCATTGGCAGAGGCGCTCCGCCCTATACATAGGAGAAACGAAAAGATCATTCTCAGTATAAGAATAAAGGGGTATAAATCCAATACGGAACGAGGAGAAACGAACAAATCTGGGATAGCAGACCACGCTTGGACACACACAAAATACATTGGGATCATGCTAAGATCTTACAAAAAGAAACATACTGGCGTCGGAGAAAATGCAAGGAAGTTGCCTGCCACGGCAGCATCAAGCCAGCAATAGTGTGGCCTGCCATCGCCCCATTCAATCTATGACCATCAATCAATACAGATGTTTTATTTTTCAATAGCTGTTATCCGCAACTTCGTACGCTTGAAACTGTTACGAACATAAAACAAGATTTTTAAGTAATGCGATTAGACCTCCGGTGATGTTTTGTGTCTTTGAGGGCATGTATTTGGTTACTTTAATAGTGGCGCCACTTAAACGTTCCTCGGATAAAACCGCAGCACAAAGAGCTGCTCAATGATAAAATATAAAAATGCATAGATTCTCAGTATGACAAAATTTGTCAACTGAACGTCGGCTTAGCGTGGCTGTCTTTTTGGTAATTCAACGCATGTTCACTATTTTCGCCCAATTTGTAGAGGCAACACAGCGATGGCAAATATAGGGGGTTCTAAAGTTTGGTATTTCAACTTTTGGTTTGAAATAACGAAACTAACGATGTAAACAAACCTACCCAGCTCGGAACGGAAAACGTAGAGAAAACGATCTGAATAAACTGTAGAAGTATCACTAGAATATTGAAGCCTAGTCCAGATCACCAACGACTTGATCTGTCACGAACACATCTCGTCAATCGCGGCAGCTACAGGTAAAAAGTTACGCAATCTCTTGGCCTTACGTCTTAATGTACTTTGCTCCACATAAACCTGATCACTCTGTAAAGTGCCCAGATAAGGCCTAGCCTCGAATACTGCCCACATGTTTGGAGTTCGTCCAACTGATTGATGACTCTTCTAACGGACAGTCTCATGACCTTTTGAACCGATCAGCCGTCGGCGATCTGGCTCTCTTCGTTCGCTATGTCAACGGCCTTTACTCCCCAGAGCTCTCCTCGATGATACTGCGCGATGAGCCTTCTTACTTCCAGAACTGGACTGTACGACTGCTCCTTTGCCCCTAGAGTTTCAAGATTGTGGAATAATCTTCCTGAGTAGACATTTACCAGATCTACTAACCTTAGGCAGCACAAAAATTGGATTAACAAAGTGCCTTTAAGCTCCTTATAGCAGCCGCTTTGCCCTGCATCTGGGCATCTATCTGCGCGACTGCTGTGGTATAAAAAAGAAACACTCACCCTAACCAAATCGCTAACTTCTTTATTGCTATCGAAATGTGCCAATTTCGGTTATTTCAAATCCGACTTGTATACGGTTAACCAACCTACACGCCGCGCGGCGCATAATTTGAACACAACGCACGTGGTACTTTTCTACCTGTTCTCGATGATTGTAGGGCTATAATTTAATAGATTACTTCTAATATCCCATGCTTGTCTGGATAATCAAACCATATGTGTTTCAAATTCTTCTTTACTGTATACATCTGTCACAACGATGACACTTCGTTTGTTTTTTCGCTCACTTGTCGTTTTGGGTGGCTAGACGTTCTTTTGGGATCATTAATGCCTACCCCAGCCAGTCCCGAGCTATGCTGACTTTGCGTGGTGCCTTCTCAAATTTTGGAATGATGTCTTCGGGCAATCTTAGCATGTGACGGACCTTTTATACTGTTGTTGTAACGCAATGTGAAAGCGAAAAGAAAAAACAAGTGTAACCTGGAAGACCGAAAAATAAAATATTGTCAAGAAGGTCACGGTTGTGACCGTCTAAAAAAGGAAGAACTTTAAACACGTGATTTGATTGGCCAGACAAACACTATACTATCGACATGAAAATCACAAGATAAGTTTCAAATGTTACATTGGTTATCGTAAGGATTCCATGTGTTGTGATCAAATGACTTTACCTTTACCTGGTTCTATCTTCCAGTATGGTCTGTACGGCAACCCAGTATTCAACGGCGACTGGCCCGCAGTAGTCAAAGAAAGAGTTGCTCAACGTAGCAAGCAAGCAGGTTTGAAGGAATCTCGTCTACCAGCTCTTACCAAGGAAGAAATCAAACTAATCAAAGGAACCCATGATTTCCTATGCATCAACCACTACACCTCGCACATGGTCAGTGCTTGGTATGAAGCGCCTGTTACAGATACTAGCTTTGCAGCTGATATTGGGGTCAATGATTGGATGCCTAGGGAGTGGCCCAGGGGAGGAGAAGTTTGGTTCTCGGTATGTATAACTGACCTCCTGAAATATGATTATAAAAACAACACAAGGTGTCAAGTAGATTCACTCTGTACTTCCTAGGCAATTATGTCATTGTTAGATTGTTTATTTCCAGACCTAACGCCATGTAAACTACGATTCAAAAGAATTCGATCGAAGCAATTGTATGCGAGATATAAAAGTCAATCTACTTGATACAATGTTTATTCGGAAGCCGGCTTCGTTAAATTTACTGATACATCAAAGCGATAGCGAATATAAAATATCTTTAACGCCGCTACTGAAATGTCCACCAACCCGTCATAAAATATACGCCATACACCGGCCTGTACATATGCTGCCAAGACCAGTCAATTTACTGATGTCTTTGGGTGATTGGCGGTGGAAGCACCGAGAGCGGCGAGCGAAAATCGAGACGTGTGACCGTGAATATTCAATTGGCGTGATTGGAATTTTTAAACTTGACTGATAATCAGAAACGTCTTTCGCTGATACCATAAATTTCACATTTACAAGCCACTGGCAACCCCCAGTTTTCAATAACTTCCAAAATTCTTCTCCAAATGATCAGCAGTTCCCGACACGTCAAAAAATGAACGTTCGGCATTTTTTTTGTTGTACTTTGCCGGTAGCTTTTCCGCCACTGGATCGATTTTCAAAAGCTACAAAGCTAACAGACTAATCCAATTACAGGACAATATAATGGTAAGCAATGGTATGCATATAATATTTGACAAAATCTCACTGATACAACCGAAACTAATGTCAGAACGGTCTGCTAAGAAATTATAATTATTGCATTTAGAATACAGGACTGAATAAAATAATACTCTAGTACTTTTGAATTTTTCAAAAGCGTTTGACACCATCAACCATCAACTTTTATTGGCAAAATTGGGATATTTAGGGTTGTTTCAAAAAACATTAAAATGTATTTCTACTTAAACCAATTTAAAGACATGTCGCTAATTAAATTTAAATGTAATTAAAAGTATCACCTTCTGCACATATAGTAGTATAATTATTTGTTTTCTCAATGCTTTTATTGTTATTATACGTAGTCATGCCATAAGTTCTGTCCCTCGTTTTCAAACAAGTGTAGACCTGTTAATACTTGTCCGATTGTTTACATTGTGGTGTCAGTTGATTAAGCGCTTTTCGGGTAATTACATATACCTCAGTTTGTATTGATCTCTCGAAGCATAACGATGGAGTGGGGCAAGGCAGAGAACCGTATTGCAGTGATAGCTTTACATAAGTGTAATCACAGTGCTAGTCAGATTTTTGAACTCTTACGCGGCCTTCAAATATCGCGTAAATTTGTGTCTAGGACCATTCAGCGGTACAATGAGACGTCCTCTGTTGATGACAGGCCAAGAAGCGGAAGACCTCGTCAAGTAAGGACTCCAGCAGCCATCAAAGCCGTAGAAGCCAGGATTCAAAGGAATCCACTCCGGAAGCAGAAGATCCTATCCAGGGAAATGAAGATTCCTGTCCGGACGATGTCGCGCATCATTAAACAAGACCTAGGGCTAGGGGCTTACCGGAGACGTACGGGCCAGCGACTTACGGCCACCTTGCGACACATCAGGGCGACAAGATCCAAGAAGCTCTTGGAGAGGTACGCAGCTGGGGGATTCCGAAAGATTTTGTTCACGGATGAGAAAATCTTCACCATAGAAGAAAAATTCAACCGACAAAATGACAAAGTGTATGCAAGGAGTTCACAGGAAGCTTCGGAGATCATTCCGAGAGCTGAGAGAGGCCACCACCCTGCGTCAGTCATGGTTTGGTGGGGGGTGTCCTACGAAGGGGTCACTCAGCTCCATTTCTGTAAACAGGGCGTGAAAACAAAAGCGGCAAACTATCAGAGCGACATACTGGATCCTATCGTCAAGCCTTTAAGTGGTACAGTGTTTGCCAACCAACACTGGGTCTACCAGCAGGATTCCGCCCCCGCTCACAAGGCTAAGAGTACGCAGCGCTGGCTGGAAAGCAATGTGCCAGAGTTCATTGCTGCGGAAGATTGGCCCTCAGGGAGTCCGGACCTCAATCCTTTAGACTACAAGTTGTGGGACCTGCTAGAGCAGTTGGCCTGCTCCAAAGCCCACCGTAATATCGAGTCCCTGAAAGCGGATTTGATCCGATCAGCGGCAGCTATTCCTTTGGAAGCTGTGCGTGCAGTGATAGATGAGTGGCCCGCGAGATTGAAGCAGTGTGTGAAGGCCAAGGGGGGACATTTTGAATAAAACTGTTTGATTATGAATTCTAAAAATGTTGTCGAATAAATAATATCTTTCATATAAATATATCTTATCTTGTTTCATTTTTATCATGAGATTATCATGGGACAGAACTTATGGCACGACTACGTATTAACTTTTTACTTACCTAAATTCATAGTATCACTGCTTGAAGGTTAAGTGGAAGAGTAGCCGTGTCTAAGCTTCTTGTTATTTATAAATAAAAACGTTTATTATTGTATCTTTAATCTCTGTTGTTAATCCAAAAAAGCATTATTTCTGATATAAAGCTGATCGGGTTGATTTTCATTTATATAAAAAAAAACTTTACCCTTGGAAATGTTTAAGCAAAGAAAGTTATTGTTACATCATTGTGTCATAGTATCTAGATCCCCCTGAAGGGGAAATACCGTTCGCGAAATTTTAAATTTTGATGATTTGCAGATCGGCAAACAGTATATTGTGGTACTTTTGTGAAGCAGTTAGGATGTTGATGAAGAATAGAAACAGCAAAGGGTCAAGGTTTGATCCTCGCGGTACCCTATAGGAAACAGTATAATTTGCTCGGCAATAACCATTGTACAGGGTGTTAGGGAAATAATATTCGTAACTTTAAGAGGTGATTCCTTGCATTATTCTAAGCAAAACAGTTCATTATAACTTATGTCCGAAAATCAATCGTTTTCGAGGAAAGTGAGTCGTAAATAAGTAAGTTTTTCAAACATTTGGCAACGCAACCGCAATACGAGCGCACGTCGACCATAACTGATTCATCGAATTGTTTACGTTTGTATATTTTTGTTGAAAATATGCCTTGAATTATAGAATACTTTTACGCAATTTTTTTATTTAATAAAGTAGTAATTTAGTAAAGTAAATTTACTTAAAAAAAATGACAGAAATTACCGGTACGTGGCGATACACACCACCAATTCCCACGATATCAGTCACTTATTTGAAACGATGCGATGCACGAAAAAAGAATAAACCAATATCAGTAAATCATATAAAGTTACAGTTAAATGTATTAGTAATCACAACACGCGATGATACACGCAGTGCAGGCGGAGTACGACGTTGCCAGTTGTGTGAGGGATTTTGTTTGTATGTTTTTTCTTCGGAAGATTGTATTTAATAAGCACGAACATTATTTTGTTAGAGACAGTTAACTGATACATAGATGTATTGATATTCAGGTGCAAAATTAATTTATTTCATGACTAAAAAGAAATAAACTCAGCATTTTTTTGGCTCCGAAACGATTTTATTTCGGACATAGGTTATAATGAACTTTTTTGCTTAGAATAATGCAAGGAATCACCTCTTAAAGTTACAAATATTATTTCTCTAACTCCCTGTTTAAGAAACGTTATGTGAAAATTTCATTAAAATCCGCGACCGGTGAGAGTTGGAGCGGGGCCAAGGATTAGAGGATTTACAGATCTAGAGAAATGAGTGACATGGTTTTCGTGATCTATACGCGATGTAACATAAAAAAACATATCTCATTTTCGGAACCTTTTACGATTGCAATACATTAACCCTCATGTTACTTATGTTTATATTGAACCATTTTCAAGGTTTGGGCTCCAGGAATGAGAAAACTGTTGAACTGGTTGAAGAATACCTACAACAATCCAGAAATCGTGATAACAGAGAACGGTTTATCTGATAATACAGGGACTCTGGAGGATGACCACAGAATTAACTACTACAGAGTACGTATTCACTGAACAGTCGAAAGTCGAAAAAACTTTTTATGATGCATTCATATCCGTATTATTTTTTTTAGGACTACCTAAGTAACTGTTTGGATGCGATCTACATTGACAACGTGAACCTGACAGGATATACTGCTTGGAGTATATTAGATGATTGGGAATGGAGCACTGGATACCAGTAAGTTATTTTTCTATATTTTCATTTCAATTTTTCATGCAAGACATATTCCAGAAAGATTTCCATTTTCCCATGTTTCTTGATTTTGGAAGAAATAGAGTCCCTCAGGACGAGTTTGTCCGCCACGTTTCAGTTGGAACCAAATATGTTAATCATACAAACCTGCATCCCAAAGTTTCTTAAAAGCATGCAAAAATAAATAAATATAGAGCATCTATATAAGTTTATACTATACCATTGATTAACCTAATCTACCTCAACATAGCCAACTTAATTCAATATTTCCGCGTCCAAAAAATTCTCCGAGATAAAATGGGATACGGTGGCGTCATCTATGAGAATTTGTCACAGCTATGTTTCTCATCTCCACACTAATAAGAAATTACTTTGAAAAGTTTAGTGTTTTATAGACGGCGGTGTAGCGGTATATGAGCATATAGCATATATTTGCTTATGACGCTACGGTATCTCATTTTATCCCGGATAATTTTTTGAGTGTGCGAATATAGCATTAGGTTGGCTATGTTTAGGTAGCATAGGTTAATCAGTGGTATTACTCAAAATAGCAAGAAAAAAAAACATGTGGCACTTTGAGAAACCTGAAAAATAATTCCTTCAAGTGATACGGTTCTGTTATAGCTCCTTAATTGGAATGTACAAAGTAGACTTCAACGACCCTAACAGGGCTAGGATTCCTAGGAAGTCTGTTGCATACTTCACCCAAATCGCCAAGAACCGCTGCCTGGCAGAAAATCCTGCAGAATGTATAGATTAAGCAAAAAATAAATATAAACTGTGATCACATAACTTTTGAGTATTATTTTATTATCTATCAGCGACCCATCAACATTGTTGGAATACTGGCATCAATTTTGTCTTATTCCTAACCTTTGAAAAAATCACACAAAACTAGGAATGTCAATATATCATATATTTATTTTAACTGGTAACATGCCAGAAGTTATTTACGCACATCCCAAAGAAAATGGGAGTAAGGCGTAATAAACAAGCTTTAGGAAATATATGTGTATTCAGAAAACTTACATACTAAATAGAACAAGATAATGGTATACAAAAAGACAAACAAAACATGTAATGCTTAAACAAAAAAAGACAATCAAAATAAGGTATGGGATATGGCGATACAACTTATATTAATTTCCGAAAATCAATAAATCGAAATCAACAAGCTCTATATACTTATATTCGAAAATAGTTGAAATAAAAAAAAACATAAGGTAAAAAGTGAAAAGAGATGGAATACATAAAAAACCTCATTTTAAAAAAATGTAGCTTAGAATTTGTATTTAAAATTCAACTTCACCAAATACCTGACGTTCACTTGAGCCACATCATAGACGATGAATCTGAAACAGATGTTAAGGAAATATTTTTTCAAAAAATAATCTTGCATTATCTAGGTGTATAACCAATGTCACTCCCAATAAGATTCTTCCGAGGTTAACCTTTGTTAAAATGTACGCAGCTGTCGCCGGCAGTTGCTGTTCATATTCGGTGCATGTCGTCTACGGGATACAGCAGATGAAACATGCTTCCTCTTCAGTGATGTCTCGTCCCCGAAAACGTGACAAGAAGGGACATTTGAATATCCAGGCAAAGAAATTGCCCTTAACGTTTATAAAAGCGAAATTTTAGAGCATTCTGAAACGAAAATTCATGATATTGAAAGAAGCGTGCCTAACAAAACAGGCTTATGTCCTAAGGCAATTTTCAACATTGTTAAAGACTATAAAGAGAACAAAGAATTGTCTCCACCACACAACAGGCTGCATTACACGAAGCTGTTGGATACAGTTGATAACTTTGATCGGAATGCCATCAGACGCAAAGACTATCAATTTTTTGAAAGGCATGAACTTTCCACCAGAGATAAAGTATTACAGGAGGTTGATAGTGAAGACTTACCTACTTTCAAAATGACTACATGCTATACTTTACTCAAAGAACTTCATTTTGAGTATAGAAAACGGGGCAGAAATAGTATTTTGATGGACAGCCAGAAGATTATTTTATGGAGAAGAAATTATTTAAAATCAATGTAGAAACACCGCAACCAGGGCAGGAAGATTTATTACTTGGATGAAATCTGGATAAATGTAGGACATACAAAACCTAAAGTATGGGCGGACCCTACAATTAAATCAGCAAGACAAGCCTTATCAGATGGACTAACCACTGGCCTAAAGAATCCGTCAGGTACGAGTATCTAACCAATTCGTCATTTGTGTTGTAAAAATGGTGTCAAGCAGACTGAATCTATGAGCCCACCCTGAAAACTTAGCTGAACTAAACTTAGCTATATCTGGTAGATTTGGAACCAACACCTGTTAGATACTTGTATTATTATTAGTTTTATTGAATATCATATGAAATAATTATTTGCAGGAGAAGGAAAACGATTTATCTGTCCCATTGGCAGTGAAGATAGCTTTGTGCCCACTTCCCCATGGGCATTTGAATCAAAGAAAACGGCTAACTACCATGAAGAAAGGACGGGAGTTCATTTGAACGATGGTTTGAAGAAAACTAAAAAAAAACACAAATGTCCACAAGAAACGCAGAAATTTAACAATGGCTCTCTTATCAAAAGACATTAGTTTCGCGTTGCGTATCACCATCCAAAGTAAATAACAGGTATAAGCGAAACCAACTGCTTTTGTATGCTTCAGAGGTTGCGCTTCCACTTTTTTTCTTAGAAACTTTTGTGTGTTCCTTATGGAAGTATGACCTCCAGCTCTTAATTTTGTTCAAGACTTGCTTTGGTGTTATACTGTATTTTGTACACAATTCCTGAACAGCATCTTTTCGTATAATCCTGTTTTTGTAAGTGGGGTCCTCACATCGCCACAAACAAGTGAAATTTCTATAGGAGTCGATAAATTCTATAGTTTTCTCATTGTTCCATTCCATTTTGACGGAAAAATGCGAAGAGGCAACAGGCAATGCAAACAAATTCCCAAAAGTCGTCTTTGCCTTTTGACGCAAACGATTGGTGCGCTTCGAAGAGTGCATGCAGAGACGCATGCGTCATAGTTGCGCTACGACGCATGCATCAAGTTGCACGAAAAAAGGCACCGTCTAAAGCTAGCTTTAGAATATGCCTAGGCCTACTCTGCGTGACGTCACAGGCTTTTCACAGCCCAGTTGTTTGGCCTTGTGCTCTCGAAGGTAACGGTTCAGCACGGGTATTACCTATCTTGAAAAGTGACATAATGCCGATTTTTTTTTGACATTATATTGGTTTTTTGTGACATGTAGGTTTGTCTACGAGATGTTAGCTTAGCACTATCTGGTGGACACGTTGTGAACTCGTTTTGAAGTTGTGTGTGTTGCCTAAACGTCATGAAGCTGAAGTTATCAATGTTTGGCTGTGATGTGATGTAAAATCTGCTTCAGAGATGGCATTACTGGAGGTCTAAGCTGAGGCATAGCCAGTATTTGTGTGATAATGTGTGTTGATGATAATTCCATTGGATTCTTGTCTTAAATACACTTTTTCTTATCCATTATGGAGATTATTAAATAATTATATTGACTGTACATTGTCGAATTACAAGTCATATACATGCTAACAGTAATTACACACAAAGCGGGTGCGGAGTGATTTTTTGTAATTCTTCTCAAAGTTTTTGAGAACAAAAAAGAGAAAAACCGGAAAAATCGTAATGTATAGCTTTGAACATAACCTCTCTTCAGAAAGAACAACACAAATAACCCGTCTGGCACAGCAAATAGATATACTCAATTGGCATATTAGTCTGTAATAATTTTCTCACATAGCAAATATCTCAGATTTTATATACATGCAGACCAATAAAATCATCCAGATGCGGTCTTGCCACTCAACCAAACTTCCGTTCTTTCATATTTTAAACACTACAATTTTTAGTCTACAAAGTGGCTTTTTGCAACCAACAATGCATACTTGGAAAGAGGCGAGCGTGTCGTATCGTTCAGTCATTCCTCCTTGGATGGACGCTTTGGATCGAGCTCACAACGATTCTAGCGAATAAACGTGGAATGACAGTTTGCACCCTAAAAACTGACAGACAAGACACTCACAATTATATACCTGTATTGTTGCATTAAAATGTCGAAAATAAAATACCTATTACTAAAGCAGCTATTGAAATTGCACTTCTTTCTTTGGAACTAATCTCGTTCAAACTAATACAAGACCTATTTTTTATACTACTTCCATGCGAGCGGAGCCACGGGCTAAGGCTAAAAGTAATAATTTTCATTAAGAACTATTCGTACTGCCCTCGTAGAAGAGAGGCAATCAAGTAAAAGGATACTCATTATACAGCAAACTGGATTCGACACCGGCAGGATTTGCCACTCCTTTGCCCAACGGCACTCCGATCTTTTCGTCCAGGTATTTCACGTGAGAGGGATCAGGATGGGTCCTGCCCACACCTTTGCAACTATGCTTTCCTGATGGCAACTTTGTGATGTAGTCCGCATGTAGCTTCTCATACGTCTGAAACAAAAATATAGAGAAACTATTTTTGAAGCTCCATATGACGTGTGCCAATGAGACTCCACAGATATTATCTGAAACAACAGGTGCAGCGTGGTTAAAAGTAAACATTCACTCATATCAAAATCGAATTTCAAACTTGTGCCCAACAAAAATTCGTTTTCCAACTTACCTTTAAGGGACACATTTATGGACGTTCTTTGATCTTGGATCCTAGGGTTTTAAATAAGCAATAATGCTTCCATCAGGAACGTCCAAGGGATGATATAACATTTGCATGTCACATTAGGCTGTAAAAGATGTCATAAAAATTTTCAAAACTGACATAATTTTCATAATTTTCCACCGTTTCACTGCTATCAATATTTTGAAGAATTTCAGTGTTTTTTAAATCTTAAAACTTATCGAAATTTCAAATCTTGCAACTTTGAGTTTTAAAATCCACCAAATATTGAAAATTTGTGATAACTGTTACAGCTTACTGTGAACTGCAGATGTTAAATCCTATCCCGAATGTTCCTCAAAGAAGCATTACTGTTTGTTTAAAATCCAAGGAGAGATCGTTGCTCAAACAGCATTCAATCCTCAGGGAACGTCTATAAACGTGACCCTAAAATACCCACTCGTATGAAATGATATGGTGTTGTTCAAGAATAGACAAAATAAATGAAAAATATTGTTACGAACAGTCTCTTTTTCTCGTACTTGACATCGAATATTTTTCGCCTTTTCACGGTTTATTCGCCAAGCTTAAACTTAACCTACAACTCAACAATCCTTTATATACCCCAGTAACACATGAAGATCACTTCCTAGAAAACTCAAGAATTCTACAAACTTTGTGAAGCATATCGAAAGATAATAATGATAATAATAATAATAATAATAATAATAATAATAATAATTTATTCACATCAATTACACATTGTGAAGAAATGCATACGCCACAAAAGGAAAATATCTTTGTATGTGGATATCATGCTAACACAACATGCATAATATAACCAACTGAAAAAAAATCTATATAATATAAGAGTAATATATACTTTAATTTTGGATCGTAGACTGGCAATGAAGAAAAGATATGTGTTAGTTTTTTTATAAAGTTTTCAAAAGCCACTCGTATCCATCTATTTTTAATAATGATATTCGGTTTTTTCTAATATATTTTGGTAAGTTATGATATAATTTTGGACCTAAGTATATAGAAGATTCCAATATTACTTGTTTTTTTTGGTTTTGCAATAATTATTTGCTTATTTTTATTTCTAGCATCATATTAATAATTTTTATAAATGATGGAATGTTTGTTTTTATGGACATTATACCAAAATAATTTTTTTATATCTAAAAGTTTTGATTCTATAAACAATGATTTGGAGGGGTATAGTAAAGGTTTGTTATGAATTGTTTTTATGAATAGTTTTTGTATTACTTGTAAATTTAGATGGTTATTATTCGTGGATCGTGTAGTTTTATTGAAAATTTGTCTGTAGTATCTGAATTTATATAATAGAAATCCAAGTTTCTTTTTGATGTATTGGATATGTTAATCCCAACGAAGATGACCGTCTAAACCATTCTGAGATATTTATGATTTAGTTTAAGTGATACATACTCATTTTTGAGATTTGATTTCTTTATATTCAGCTGAGTTTACAGCGGTCATTTATTAATGTAACAGGTGAAGGGAATAAAGTAGCTTTTTTTATAATTAATAGTTAATAATTGATTATCAAAGCAGTCTGTTATCTGAACTAAGTCTTTTTCAATTTCTTCTTTTAATTTTGTACCAGTTCTGGCTTTAAGGATGATAGTGGTGTTATCTGCAAATCCTATTTTTTCACTTTTTGTTGATACATTATATGAGACGTTGATATATACTATATATTAAAGAGAAGGGGCGCAAGTATTGTTCCTTGTGGAACTCCATACATTACAGTTATTTCTTCACTAAGTATATTTTGAATTTTAACCTTGTTTTCTGTTATGTAAGTAATGTGATCTAATTTACTCAACAGATTCTCGTGATCTATAGTGACAAACGCTTTTTATAAGTCGATGAATACAGCCAGTGTTGGATTGTTGTTCAGTATGTTAAGTTAAGATACAGAAATAAACAAAACTGAACACTGACTGACAACATACCTAACCTATACAATTTGACAACACATGACAGACCTCGATCTGTGGCATACCGCACTAAACAGCGTGTTACAATATCATTCAACAAATTCTTGGTGAATAACAGAAAATCTTGAGTTAACAGTCTAGAATGAAAAGCAAAAGTAACATGAATTCTATATACTCACATTCCCCAGAGCAACATCACAAAGCAGTAGGAGACCTTCAGGATGGTTGACGCTGGTATTACAGTAGTTTGCCGACTTGGATACCATGTCGGCAAAGTATATACCTTTACCGAACATGTAACCCGTGCTTGGTGCTTCAGGTGGAGCGATTCGTAGACCCTAAAAAATAAAAACACCACCAGTTCATAAAGGATTGAGCTCAGCACAAGTACAAAAATAATTACGAAGATGTACAATAGAGAAATTAAACGGTCACCAAGTCAGTCAGACAGGCCAAACAATTAGTCCATAGACATTTTTCTTGGACTATCGGTAGTTACCGTCCATGTTGCAACGATGTCCTTTCCCTTATCGTCAGACTCGGCAGCGCCCACCAAAGCACCGCCCAGACGAGCAGAACTATCAAGCAGACCGTGACTCCGGGCGCTGAGCTCAGATATCAGAAAGAGACGCGTAGATAGCAGAAGCAGCAGATACAGAACAGAATTAAAAATGGACATTTCCCGTTAAAAACTCATTTGATATTCAAATCACCTTGATGGTCGTAATCAAGGTCATAAACTTGAACATAATGTTTGTTGCTCTTTTTATTTGTTAAAATTAGGGAGTTCCATTAAAGAAAATAAGCTTGAAGGTCATAGTGAAAATTACGTTCAAGGTCACCATCATCAGATGAATCTTTTCAAACCTTAGAACTCTATTACGCAACATTTTTCTTTATAAGACGTATTTTTTGAAATATTTTGTCCTTTTCCTATTTTCTGGACATCCTCAAATATTCAACAAGATCATGGTCAAGGTGAGGGACAATTTAAAATTTCCAAGACTGTAATCAGGGCTCCGAGTTAGCCAAGGTATGATAGTGTTTTAGCTTCTTTCTAGAATCTAGATGATCATCAACTAAAATGTTGGCCCAAAATGTCCATTATTTACGTTTGAAATCTTGATACAAATTGCTGATGCTTTAGTTTGTGGGAGGAGTGTATACGAATGAATAGTTTTACACAAATAATTACCTAACCTTCTGAAATAAATAAGCCAAATCATATACGACCTATATAATTTTCAAGCATTTTTTTACCTGTGACAATATTCCAGCAAAGTTGGTAACTCTGGAACCGTGCCATAACAGCTGACGATTATGAAGTTTCTTGAATGGCTTGAATCTCTTATCTTCACCTTGACGTTTCACCTAGAATCATTTGTTAATTATTGCTAACAAGTATCCCAAATTGTAACAATAACTTTTTAATTTCACAGGCTGACAAAACTTTTACCTAGAAACAAAAGTATACATTTCCAAATGTTTTTGATGCGCTGATCCGAATCCGTGGTCTAAATCTCTCAATGGCTCAAAAGGTGAAAAAAGCGATTTTTGTTTATATCTGAGAAAACCATAGACATTTCAAAGTACAAACGTTGCCCTTTCAAATGCTATTGAGCCTGATTAAATACCTTTTTTTCTTTTTTTTTTTATACTCCAACTACCACGAAGGCCTAAGGCCTAAGCACCCATTGGGTACCGTGGGGCTATGGGGGATACATGGGAAAGGGGGGACGCCACACGGACTCTGGCGAGGGAACACGTGTGCATGCAACATGCACACATTCTGGCTCCGCCTACGAGAACCGCCGGGTGGTACCTCCGCGTTCGACAGTCAGAGACCATCTACCACCTACGGACAATCACAACATCCATGGCCAAGAGAAACATTTCTCCTGGGACGGGAATCGAACCCGCACAGCGCACGGCGACTGATCAGGAGACCGAAGAGTCTACTACTGCGGCCACCGCTGCTGCCTAAAACAAACACACAACATCCATGGCGAAGGCGAGATTCGAACTCGCGGCCCGGCCGGCCGGCTGATCAGTAGCACGACACTCTGACCCACGCGGCCAACCGAGGTCATTTGATACTCTACAAGTTTGGATTATAATGCACTAAACATTCAATAGTTAATGTATTTTTATGACATGAGACCTGCCAACTAAAAAACCCATGAATGCTCAACACTAAATCCATGGAAAACCAAAAACATTGCCAAACCAAAGAGTAGTTCTATAGGGTGGCCAACATATAAGTGACTGATTTAAATCGCGTGCCATTTTCAGTAGGTGGCACCGTAGCAGTTGTTCAAAGCACATGTATAAAATTCATCATGGAGCGCTACACGATCCCACAACGCGTCCCATTGTCAAAACGTTTTACTTAAATAATGAGTCGATTGTTGCAACGATTCGGAAGCTACGACAAGATTTTGGTCAAAATAATGTGCCCAGTGTCAACACCACTCGCCAGTTGGTGCGGAAATTTGAACAAACAGGTGAAGTTCAAGACTTGCCAAGGTCGGGCCGTGTACGAACTATTCGTACTCCGGAATATATCGACAGAGTTCGCGAGTGTAGTGGAGCGCCCTGAGACGTCTACCAGATATCGTTCTCAAAAACTGGGTATTCGTCGCACGTCATTATGCACTGTTTTAAAAAAAGACTTGCATTTTCTGTCATACACAATTCAGTTAACCCAAGAACTACAGCCTAGTGACCATCAAAGTCGCCGACAATGCAGTCATGCAATATTGCGGCTTATTACCCAAAATAACGATTTTTACTTAACTAAAAATGAGCGATGAAGCCCACTTCGATATGAGCGGAGTTGTTAATAAGCAGAATTGTCGTATCTGGGCATTATAAAACCCTCGTGTCATCCATCAACTACCACTATATCCTTGTCGAGTCACAGTTTGGTGCGGTGTTTGGTATTGAGGTGTCATTGGACCTTACTTCTTTAAAGACGTTGCAGGTAGGTCTCTTACTGTCACTAGTGAGCGCTACCACGATATGGTGCAAAACTTTCTGAATCCAACAACTCAAACTTCAAAATATGTGGTTCCAGCAGGATGGAGCAACTTGTCACACAGCTAGGGAAACAATGAATCTTCTCCAAACAATATGTCCGGGGCGTTTAATTTCTCGATTTGGTGATGTCACCGGATTTAACGACCTCCTGTCTTTTTTATGTAGATTTGAGAAAAATAAGGTTTATGCCAACAAACTAAATACTGTAGAGCAATATTACAGGAGCGATTGAAAATATTCCTCCCGCAACCTACCAAAAAGTGATGGAAAATATAATCAAGAGGGTTCAGATTGGCGCGGCTTGTAGAGGTGAACATTTGCTTGATATTATTTTTCATACATAAGTTTCAATAAAAGATTAAGATGAAAAAAATGGACGTATTTTATTTCATTTCACAAATATTCACGATACAAACCAGTCAGTTACATATCGGCCACTCTGGATAACGAGAAGATAGACAAGGCGAATAAAATTAGAGAGACATAAAAGATCACGCCAAAACATGGCATCCACAAAATAGATGATAGCGACTAAATACGTGCTGTTATTTAGTCTGAGATAAATAAATGCGGGGTTGCCAGACAGATAATCATTTTTGAATGCATTCATTCCCCATCACTTGTACTGAACGCATTTTTTGTTCAAATTTACGTTTGTACATTTATTCATGATGGGATGTTTATCATCCCTTTGCAGCCTAGGAAATATATTGTTCATCCGATAAAGTTATTCTCAAAACCCGCTGTAAGTTATCGCTTAGCTATGTAAGATTTAGTGCCTTACACGGAATATTATACGATTTACATTGATAACTATATAATTATAGGGTTGAAACGTCGAAAATCAAAAAATCCTTTGGACAATGGAGGTTCGAGAAACAACAATTCAATTATCCACATTGTCAATATTTCAAACAACATAGATCGCTGTTATTTGTAAGCAAGTATTGGTCCAAGAGCCAACCCCAAAGTTTTGGTTGCATTGCGTACTTATATGGAATACTAGCTTACTAGATGAACCGACAGACGTTATCCTTGAAAAATGGTGGCCTTGGTAACATTATTCACTAATTCTTCACACCGCAAGCCGAGTGCCATTGCAAAGACGTGGCCGGTTTATGTTCTGCAACATAATGATTACCGATCCCACTTTTAATTGCAGTTTATGAGGTGGTAATCCGGGCACTTCTAGCGAATTCAAAAATTCCGTTAGATAGTTGACTGCATCATCTTGGTTAGTATTATAGTATAGTATAGATTTGTGTGTCCTTAATTCCCCAGCTATCTTATTTACCAATAAATAAATTAAAAAATTGTAGTCACTATCCGGCGTTGGCAATAAGGAACCTGTTCGATGATATATTTGGCCCTGAATTTGAAAGAGTAAATATATGGAATATAGATAATTGTATAGCGAAGTGTTTATACCGCCATGTGGCTAGCAAAATATGTTGGCGGCACTGCCATTCCCCCATCAACTTACTTTGAAAGTAGGCACAAAACCATGACGAATGACTTTTGTTGCGCCAAATGACGTAATTTACAATTATTGTATTGCTGGATATGCGTAAAAAAATGTATAGAATCTGACACATTTCTGGAAACCAATAAATGTAGTGGCTCTGGTGGTGGTACCAATGGACTCAATTTGACTTTTCCATTGGAGCAACATAATCCAGAAGCTTCATTTTTAAACTTAAAAGCCTTGCAATGAGGACAAACAACGTTCATTGGCCCAATAGTAATGACTTATGGTGAACTGTAATCGACTGCCACGTCATAATTGAATGCAGCTCGATTGGAATTAAATCCGACACTTCTACGTTGTTGAATTTCAGTCCTTCGATCCCGTTCAACTTCATTTCTCGCTTCTGGATGCTCGTCAGTTTGACTTCTTCGTATATATCTTCGACTCGCAGCATTGCGAGTTCTGCGACCTAGGTTGGTACGTCTAATTGATGAATTGGAGAATCACATTTTTAATATAAGGCGTGATTGCGGTGAACTAACTTCCACCCAGAACAAATACTTCTCAAAAAAACTCACTGAACAATCTGAATACCGGATAAAAGCTCAAATCGAATGGGCTGTGCACTACTAATTAAGTAAAAAAATATGTTTTCATCGATAAAACTGTTCAAGATGATAGATTAATGAAAGTCAATTAAGCATAAGAAACGTATTTTCATCCGTCATTTTTATTTTTAATCTATTTATTCTAACTGAGAAAGATAACAATTAGGCAACACTGCAGTTTCTTTTGAAGAGGCAAGCACAAAGTACGGATGGTAAAGAAATGAAAGTCCAAAAACGAAAGCACCGTGTTTCCTCTCACACAGTTAACTGTCCATAGCTGTTGAAAAAAAATGGCGGAGAGTATTGCCCGCTCTTCTGGTACTTGAAATATTTCTTCTGAACACGCATAGCTCAAATAATCATTAGGTTTTCAATGATTTCCTAATTTTCTGCGCAATTTTCTTGATTTTACTTTCCGTAAGAACCTTCTACACAGTATTAGGAAAAACTTAAATAAAGAAAGATAAATAAAATGGGTAAAGTCATTCTCAAGTTATGGCGTGTCCACGGGAAATAGGGATTCATTTATATATATACAGGGTTATCCAAATTAAGTGTCCACCATTAGTAACTTTGTTATTAGTGAAAATACAAAGTTGTTTGAATTAGCAAACTAGTAGCATTTTTAACGCTGGTAAAAATGAGAAATAAAAAAAAAAACAATTGAGAGTCGTTATTTTGATTTTTTTCAGTAAAATAACATTTTTTTAAATGGAAACCCCTGTATATTATATTTTTTTCTGTTAAAGCATCGAATTTTAAACAAAAAAGCTTACAATAACTTTTCTCCTAGGTTACAAATTGTTGAAGTTATGGCCTCCAATCTGAAACAATTAAATTGTATCGACAAACTTTATTTTCAACATCAACTTATAATCTTACAAAATACAATAACAATTTGTTTTAAAGAAGATGCTCGAAAACACCACCTTGTTCTTCAATACATTTTTGGGTACGTTTTTCAACTGCTCGAACTGTCTTAAGTATGGTCCTACCATCTATCTGGGTTATCTTTTCCCTAACTGCAGTCTTTAACGCGTCAAGGTTATCGTACCTTCGCTTGTAAATTTGGTTCTTTAAGTAACCCCACAAGAAGTAATCAAGTGGGTTTAGATCTGGTGATCTGGGAAGCCACTGTATTGGGCCATTTGTTCCTATCCACTGATCATTAAAAGTAGTACTTAGAAAATGATAAGTACCTCTGGAGTTGTGGGCAGGTGCGCCATCTTGCTGAAAATGCAGATGATGTCTACTTA